CGAAAAACGAAAAAACAGTTTTTTGCAAATTACTCGTTAACTATTGACGCTAGCAACAAATTTTTATACAGAAATTATAGATCTCGTCGTCCTCTACAAAAAAGGTCTGATGCAATTTCTTCGTAGATTCAACGGTTTAGAAGTTATTGGCAAAAAACGAAAATTTCGAAGAAATTGAAGGGGTATCCCTTGGAAAAATCTCGGAAAAATCGAAAATTTTTTTTTGTTGTTTATTATTTGCAATGTTCTTCCGACGCCTGATTTCTTTTTAAAAAATGCGTTTCTAAAGTGCATAAACTTTTGGGATTGACTGTATAGCCAATACATCCTTAAGTTGAACTCACTTCATATATATCCTTTTATCTTTTGTTCTACAATATAAAAATATGCAGACTTATGAAATAACGAGCGATCGTTTATTGTGAATACCTCCGTAGCCATTCTTATATTCAATTTCAAGTACTCAAATTCAGGAAAATCCAAATTCTATACGAGCTTCCTCTATGTATTTTGATTCATGAACTATCAACGTTACGTTTGTTTTTACTATCCACTATATTTCATGCGACCTCTCTCAACTGTACCTTGGTACCTAAAAACTGGAAAGTTTTCTAATTTTAAACATAGTACCCCGTAATAAAATCCACCTTACATTGGAAAATCCTCTATAACAGAAATACTATAGGCGGGACACTCGCAGGTAGTCGGAGCGGTACTTTTCTGAAGGAAACCGAGAGTCCCTTGTAGGAAAGGAAATCCAGAGTTTCGGGCGGTAAACGAGACTACCTGAGAAGAGGGATAAATCCCCGGTGTGCCGTGTGTGATTAAGTCCTTTTCAGAGAGTAACGGAACCCGAATCAAGCGAAAGGAAAAAAGATGGAAGGAAAAGGGAGGAAGATGCAGAGGAGGCCCGGGTTCTACACGAGAGGTAGGTGAGGCATTGTACAGATTCCCCGAGACAAAAGCGCGGGGCATGGTGCGCATGGCGCAGGGATCCGTCGAATGGTTGGGACGGTGGGGTAGAGGGCAAAGGGGAAGGACGGACATTCATCACAAAGCAGCCTGCTCCAGGGCGGACAAGTAAGCGGATTCGCCTGAATGTAGGAAACTACCTGAATACTGCACGCGAATCCTCTGCGCTTCTTTCGTTCGGTTCCCGGGCCCTTTTCTTCTCTTACCGAGCCTACGCCGGCTCCAACGAAAATCGTCCATCACACTAAGACTGTATTGACTATAGACATGATCTGTTTCTTTTTCTCCACCGTGATCTTCTCGTCCGAACAGTATATGTATGTTAAACGTAAGCCTTGCAATGATGGACAAAAAGAATTTCAAGTATCAAAGAACCGTGGACGTGGAGAGGTAGAGGCTTTGACCTATCAGTTTTCGAATTATTTTATAGTTAACGCTAAATAGAAAATAATATCATTACTTTATCTATAAAATGAATGATTCTAAAGGAAACATTTACTGTATTTTATAATAACTTTGATTTGTGTCAAGAGTATGAAAACTCTTTCTACCGTTTTCGCGAAATGCAATTAATAGAAATGAAAATTACTATGATGTACTACGAACAAATCAAAATTGGATTC